CCGCCCCTCGCAGGCCCAGGTCACTGGACGTAGGTGGTCAGCCTTGGACGGGCTTGGACTGCCCTAGCCCAGAGGCGGGCCTCTCGGAAACCCCGCGGGGCCGGGGCCTTTTGCCTTGTGGGCTGGCGCCCCAACACCCAGTGGGCGACCACCACCCACTGAGCATTTCGGGACCAAGTCCTGCTCCGAAGTCAAGCCATCGCACCGTCCGTGGCCCTCCCTTCAGCCCCCCCACCCCGTCCCCCCCGTCCTCCCACACTCTTCCCAACGCACTCCCACAGCCCCTCCTCCGCATCGCCCCACACAGCCCCCCCCCCCCGTCTCCCAGACCCCCCCACTTCCTGAGACAGGCCAAGGGCCTCCCAGTGCCCACTTCCGCAAAGGAAGCACCCGCCCACCCCTCCTGCCTCGCCCACTACCTAACGGAGGCCCCCTCACCCCCCTTCCCCCCCAAGGCCGCCGAGAGCTGAGGCTGCCCACCTGACGCTCAGCATGTGTTTGGTTTCTTTGGTTTCTTTTCTTTTTAAAGAAAATGTGCAGTTGATCAGACATCACTGGGCCCATTTCACAAGGTGTCACTGGCTCCTACGAGGCCTGGGCACCTGCCCTCTCCCCCAGGGCACCAGCGAGTGCCTGTCCCCCAGTTCCTCCCGACCCGCCAGCACCTCCCCACGCGGCCAGCCCGCCAAGTGCAGCCACCTGGACCCGGGAAACATCGCAACTGGTGGCTCTCTGGTCTAAAGCAAGAGATCTAACTCTTCCCGCTGGCCAGGCAGGCTCCCTCCCGCCTCCTTCCTCCCCCCACTGCCTGGCCCCAGGGTCCCACCTGCTTTGCAGCTTCCATCCCACGACGGAGTGAATGAGGCCTGAGTGAGGCCACAGCCCAGACACTCCACTTCCTCTCTGAAGTTCGTCCACAAACGTCTGTGCCTGCACGTCTGCCCGCCCCCCCCCCGCCCCCCCCCCCCGCCACGGGCCCTGCGGACAATGCCCTCCTCTGGCTTTCCTCTCACTCCGGCCCGGCCTCCCTGGCCCTGGCAGAGACACTGCGTGGCTACACAGGAGGCTCAACCCGCTCCCCAGTTTGTACGACCCCAGCCAGCAAGGCGGGACGTGAATGCGGGCGACGGGCCTCTCCTTGGAGAGGTACGTGAGGCCATCGCTCTCGCTCACAGCCCCCCAGGCCTCCCACCGCCGGCTGCTGGGCAAGTCCCGGCTCCTCAGCGGCTCCAGGGCCTCGTGCCCTGGCCCTCATGCGGCCACTCCCCCTCCCGCCCTCCGCGCTCAGGCCTGTGAGGAGCCGCAGTCTCGCATCATCGCTGTGATTCTGCACCCGCTCTTCTCTCTGGAGAGCCCGCTCACCCCCCGGCGCCCAGCTGGGCAGAACCACCCCCCTCTCCGCTGAAAAGGGCCACGCGGGCCACGCTGCGCGATCTGTTTCCAAGTGTCTCCCCCCGCCCGGCTGAGCTGTCAGGAGGCAACAGTGAGTGCACTTCTCGGCACACTTTCTTTATTGCTTTATTTTTAAATATATTTGCATTGATTTCAGAGAGGAAGGGAGAGGGAGAGGGAGACAGAAACATCAAAGAGAGAGAATCATGGACCGGCTGCCTCCTGCACGCCCCCTACTGGGAATCGAGCCCACAACCCGGCCTGTGCCCTGACCGGGAATCGAACCCTGACCTCCTGGTTCCTAGGTCGACGCTCACCCCGAGCCAGGCCGGCCGGCCGGGCTGGACACATTTTCTTTAAATGTCAGCTGCTGGGCTCCACCAAGCAACAGGCAGTCAAGGCACCCACCATCTTTTCTGACACCAGGGCTGTCCTCTATCCCGGTCCCAGTGAGAACCGTGTCACCCCCTCCCGTGTCGCTCACGCTCACGGGGAACAATGCCCCTTCCACAGAGGGGTCTTCTTGCCTCCAAATACAGATTGTCAGACAGAACCGCCCCCGTGGGGACCCTCAGACTCCCTAACGGGCGCCCGGCTCCCCCGAGGGCCGCACGGAGCCGCACTCGCCCGTGCTTCCTGGCTCCCAGGCCTCTGCTCCCAGCCACCGGCACTGGGATCGCCCAGGCTCTTCACCGGCAGCTGAAGCCGCTTCCTCCATGAGCTTCCCTCTGACAACGGGGCCGATGCGCCTCGGTGACCGCCCCAGGCACCACGGGCCACCCTCTCCTCACCTCGCCAGTCCTGGGCCCTAACTAACTCCGCCTCCATCTGCCCTCTGGCCTGTGCGGACGGGGATGGGCATTTTAAAAGCCCGAAAGCCAAGTGCTGAGCCGCTGGACGCGCCCGGAACGGTGGCCCGCAGCGCCCCGTGACCACGCTCAGCAGCCAGCCTTTCACCCCTTTCCTCCAGCTCTCCTCCCCCCTCCCCCCTCCTCAGGGGACACACGGCAGATGCTGACGTCTGCTTTCCTGTTCCTAACTTCAAAAATCAAGTCAATGGTTTTCCCTCCCTCAAAAGGATGTAAAACAAACTGCAATGCGAGTTAGCAAAAACCAAAGGCCCTTGCATGTGGTACTCGCTTCCCGGGAGCCTCGAGGGGAAACAAACAAGAAAAGGATTTCTGGCAAAGGGGAGGGTGGGACCGTGAGTAACACATTTCAGAGATAAGCGGGCAGGTGACACACGCTTCCAGACACCGCGGCACACCTTCTCCCATGAGCTCACGCCCAGCGGCGCGGCAGGGACGGGGAGAGGACGGGGTGGCGGGGAGAGGACGGGGTGGCGGGGTATGACGGGGGGGGGGGGGGGAGCTGGTGAGAAGGGCAGCCAGTTTTTTCTGTTGTGCCCAAGAAGCACTCTCCGCGCTCAGGGTGAGTCCAGTCGGGCCGAGCTGGAGCGGGCAGTGCTCCAAGCCAGGGAGCCCCCGACAGACCCCAGGGCAGGTTTCCCTGGCGGGCGGCTGAGGCACAGAACGGGGCAGGTGGGCGACTGGAGTGTGTAACGCAGAGGGGTTCAGAGGGAGGGAGACAGACCACGGAGGCCCTAGGACAGGGGTCTCAGCCTCCCCAAGGCCGCGGCCCGTTAACACAGCTCCTCATGTGGTGGGGACCCCCGATTTCATTGTTACAGATTGAACATAATTAAAGCACAGTGATTCATCACAAAAACAATATGTAATTAGGTATGTGTTTTCCGATGGTCTTAGGCGACCCTGTGAAAGGGTCGTTCGACCCCCGCCAAAGGGGCCGCGACCCACAGGTTGAGAACCGCTGCCCTAGGAGTTCCCAGGGCAGGAGAGGAGCTTTTGTGAGGGCTGGGACGAGAAGAGGGGGACGGGAGTGAGGCAGTGATCAGGGGGCACCCGCCCAGAATGAGGGCTTATCTGCAGCAAAGGTGCGGGAAGGGGAGGTGGTGGCGGGAAGGGGAGGTGGTGGCGGGAAGGGGAGGTGGTGGCGCAGGCGGCAGGCTTTCCTAAGGAACCTCAGGGCTCCGCGAGGCCAACCTCTCGCCCCGGGACGGGGAAGGGCGGATCCGTTGTCCAGAGTCAGACAGACGGTTCAGAAACGGCAGGGCAGGAAAGCACGCCTGCTCCGACACCTGCTGCGTTTCCAGCCGCGCTGCGGAGAGGACTCACACAGTTAAGTGTTCTCTCCTCTCAACATGCGGAAAGCAAGCCGCCGGCTTTTCCATCCAAGAAAGTAGGGCGTCTCAGCGAGGCTTCAGGCGCCATGGCATTTCCGAAGTCCCGGGAAGGTTCCCCGAGCCCCAGAAGCTCCCCGCTTGGGAGCCAGGGCTCTGGAAGCGAACTCTGGAAAAGCCTGGAGAAGCTGGCACGTGGGAGGGGGCCAGCGAGGGCCGTTCCCTGGCGGTTTGGGCTGGAGGAGGGAGGGGCCCGCTGGCCGCCCCCATCAGGTACAAGAGGAAAACGCTGATCTAGAAGGTGAGTCACCACCTCAAAAGTTTCAGTTTCCCCAGCTGTGAATTCACTAGTAAAGAGAGAATAAGATCGGCCTCATCGGATGTGTAAGGTGCGCAGTGCATTTAGCTCGATGTCGGATGTGCTAGAACAAGACGGTAAATGCGAGTCCTACCTAACATCACAAGAAACGATGCCGTTTTTAAACATTATCATCAAACATCCGCACCTCTTCTGCATACGCCTTGAGTCAGATCTTCAAAGGGGACTGAAGCCCCCAAAAGGTCCAGCCCGGCGCACCTCCCAGGGGCCACCTGCCCCACACCCCCCCCACACCGGCCCCGCGCACCCCCAGTCCCACACCCCCCCACCGGCCCCGGGCACCCCCACCGCCCTCCCCACACCTGCCCCGCGCACCCCCAGCCCCACACCCCCCGCACCGGCCCTGCGCATCTCCAGCCCCGCGCACCCCGGAGGGCGGGGGAACCATAACAACAGGCAGCGGCGTGGCGCGCGCTCAGGGCCGGCCTCGCTCCGCGACAGCCCAGGTAGGTCGGCGCTTTCGTCAGCGCCCCGCGCAAATGGGGAAACCGAGGCGCCGGGATGAAACCGTTAGCCAAGGTCACACGGCCCGAGGGCTGAACACGCAGGTCGGTGCGCTTTAACCCTCACGCCGGGCCGGGAGGCGGAGTGGGGCGCCCAGGGATAGAAGTGGAGCGCCCAGGCCCCGATCATGCGGGGCCCGGAGGCGGAGCCCAGGCCCCGATTGCGTGGGCGGGGGATCGGAGTGGGGCGCCCAGGGACCCCGACCGCGCGGGGCCGGAAGGCGGAGTGGGGCGCCCAGGCCCCGATCGCGCGGGCCGGGGATTGGAGTGGGGCGCCCAGGGACCCCGATCGCGCGGGCCGGGGGTCAGAGTGGAGCGCCCAGGCCCCGATCGCGCGGGCCAAGGATCGGAGTGGGGTGCCCAGGGACCCCAATCGCGCGGGCCGGGGGTCGGAGTGAGGCGCCCAGGCGCCGATCGCGCGGGGTCGGGAGGCGGAGTGGGGCGCCCTGGGTCCCCGATCGCGCGGGGCCGGGAGGCGGAGTGGGGCGCCCAGGCCCCGACCGCGCGGGCCGGGGGGCGCACTCACCTTGGCGCTGTGCACCGCCTCCTGCGCCCCGCGCAGCTGCAGCCAGATGCGCGCGGGCAGCGGCTCCTCCGCGCCGAGCGCGCCCAGCACGGCCAGGCTCACGCCGAACAGGCCCTCGATGCGGCCGCGGCTCCGCTCCAGCAGCGCCGCCTTCTCCGCGGGCGCCGTGAACTCGTCCAGCACCAGCCGGGCCGCCATGGCGGGCGCGGCCTCCCGCGGCGGCGCCGGGGTCGGGGCGGCGACCCCCCTCCGCGCGCGGCCGCTGTCCCCGAGCCCGTGGCGGCGCGGCCCTGGGCCCTCGCCCCGCGCGCCCGCCGCCCGCCGCCGCCCGCAGGCCCGGCTACTCCATCGCGCCCGGCGCCGGGCTGGGCCACTGGGGCAGGGCCGCCTCCGCCCCTTGTCGCCGTCGCCGCGGCCCGCGCCGCGCATGCGCCCCGCGCGCTGCCGTCACTGGGGCTCGCCGCCCGCGGGGGGCGGGGGGCGGGGGCCGCGAGGCGACGGAAGGCGACGTCACCGCCGATGCCATGTTTGTTGAGGGCAAAGCCCGGGCTCGTTCTTTGGGGAGCACCTCGCGCTCACGTGGACGCAGCGCCCTCCCAGGGACCAGGGGGTCCTGGTTCGATTCCCGGTGGGGGCGCGTGCCCGGGTGTGGGCTCCACGCCCAGGAGGGGGTGCAGGAGGCAGCCAATGGGCGTGTCTGTTGATGTTTCTCTCTCTCCCTCTCCCTCCCTCCCTATCCGAAAATCAATAAAAACATTTATAAAAAATAAAGGAGAATTTACTCTTTAAAACAAACAACAAACAAAAAATGCTTCCGGATGACCTGTTGGATGGTGAACTTCTGGTTTTGCAGGTGGGGAAACTGAGGCTCCGAACGAGGAGGCGGGACTGACCCAGGGGCAGGCCAGGGATCTGCTGGCCTTCAGACATCCTGACCCCGGCACCAGGGCGCTGGAGATTGGGTTGGGCTGTCCAGCTTCTCATCAATGGATGGGCACGGAGTTCTGGCAGAGGGGGCAGCTGGACAGGCACAGGCACAAAGGGCCAGGGAGGAAGGGCCGCAGGGCAGGAAGTCTTGGATGCCTAGCAACAGGCAAAACTGGGAAAACAGGCTAGGACAGTGATGGCGAACCTGTGACACACGTGTCAGAGGTGACACGCGAACTCATTTTTTTGGTTGATTTTTCTTTGTTAAATGGCATTTAAATATATAAAATAAATATCAAAAATATAAGTCTTTGTTTTACTATGGTTGCAAAGATCAAAAACTGTCTATATGTGACCCGGCACCAGAGTTAAGTTAGGGTTTTTCAAAACACTGACACGCCGAGCTCAAAAGGTTCGCCATCACTGGGCTAGGACCTTACCCCCGGGAGGCCTTCCCTCCCCTGGCATGTGGCTGGCCATGTGGTAGACCCCTTCGAGGAGGACAGGGGGCCGGGAACAGCCTCACAGACTCCCACACAAGCCCCTGCAGGACCCTCCCCTGAGCACTGAGCCCTCGGGACAGTGAGGTTCTGACCCACATCACATCATCAGAGGAACAGAGCTGCGGGTCTGCTGACCACAGAGACGGGGTTTTAGTCAAATGAGAGGTAACACCTAGGCCTCAGTGTGTCCCAGCTCCAGGCCCAGAAGAGCAGCGGAACCAGACAAGGCGAGGCCGTGGCCGGCATCAGGCCCAGCTGCACTGACTGACGACCTCCTGCCCTAGTGCCAACCCATCCGTCAGTCCGTCTGTCCGTCTGTGGAGACCAGGCCCTGAAAGGACACACCTGGGAAGCTGATGAATATTCTCTTGAGACCTCCCCTAAAATTCCCACCTTCAGAAAATAGATAAAAACCCTTAAGACCAGGGCCCCATGTACTCGCTCCCTCTCCTCTCCCACGCCCTCCCTGTTCCCCCTTCTTTCCTCAGCTGCCGACTCTTCGATTTCCTTCTCCTAAGCTCCCAGGGCCCTTCTCTCCTCTGTAACTTGTTTCCCGAGTCCACGAGGCCCAGCCGGCTCACTCCTTCCACCTCTGACTTTCTAAATAAACTTCTTGCGTCAGAGTTCTTGCTCTGAATTTTCTTAGGCGAACTCAAAAACAAAGGTCTAATACATCATTGTTAACAGTTCCCCCGTTCCTCTGTCTCTCTCTCTCTCTCTCCCCCTACCCATCGCCCATCGCTCTCTCTCTCTCTCTCTCTCTCTCTCTCTCTTTTTATATATATTTTATTGATTTTTTACAGAGAGGAAGGGAGAGAGATAGAGAGTCAGAAACATCGATGAGAGAGGAACATCGATCAGCTGCCTCCTGCACACTCCTCACTGGGGATGTGCCCGCAACCCAGGTACATGCCCTTGACCGGAATCAAACCTGGGACCCCTCAGTCCACAGGCCGACGCTCTATCCACCGAGCCAAACCGGCTCCGGCCCTCTCTTTCTTCTTTTCTTTCCTTTCTCTTTCCTCTTTTCTTATCTCCCCCCCCCCTTTTTTTCTTCACTAAAAATGGTAACAGAAGCCCGGATGGCATGGCTCAGTGTTTGAGTGTCGACCTATGAACCACGAGGTCTCGGTTAGATTCCAGGTCAGGGCCCAGGCCCAGGTTGTGGGCTCCATCCCCCGTGTGGGGCGTGCAGGAGGCAGCTGATCCATGATTCTCTCTCATCATTGATGTCGCTCTCTCTCTCTCTCTCTCTCTCTCTCTCCCCCTCTCCCTTCCTCTCTGCAATCAATAAAAAATATATATTAAAAAAATGGTAACAGAAGAAAAAACTGGAAATAATAAGTATGGAGAATTGAAAAGCAAACAAGTGGTTGAGAAAAATCCGGGAACACGCTTTCTTTGGGGAGGGAAGGAGGAGGGTGTGTTAGAGGAGAGGTACAGAACGCGGGGGTCAGGGGCTCAGCCATGGTTGGACTGTGGGACTTGGGCACATACACCGGGAGCCCTGTCCAGTTCTGTGTTCCCGTCTGTGAATCCAGGGTTGTACTCGGCAATCTCTGAAGTCCTTCTCACACCTCGGCAATCTCTGAGTCCACGGAAACAGATGGTGGGAGACAGAGGGTTGGTTTCCTCTCTCTGGGCTAACTGTAGTAGACAGAGCAGACACGTCTGAATTCCTCATCTGTGAAATGTGGTTAACAATAGGACTTCCTATTGTTGTGAGAGTTAGTACAGTCCCCAGGAGTCGAGTGAAGAAATCAGAGTCACTGCCATCAAGCAGTTACATGGCTGAAATCGGTGTTTTAGTTCAGCCCAGCCCCGCGGTCGGCAAACTGCGGCTCGCGAGCCACATGCGGCTCTTTGGCCCCTTGAGTGTGGCCCTTCCTAAGCCTTAGGAGCACCCTAATGAAGTTAATAACAATGTACCCACCGATATAGTTTAAGTTTAAAAAATGTGGCTCTCAAAAGAAATTTCAATCGTCGTACTGTTGACATTTGGCTCTGTGGACTGATGAGTTTGCCGACCACTGGCCCAGTCAGAATTCAGAGCAAGGGTTCTGGTAGGTCGAGGAAACAGTTCGATTCCTGTTCTAACTAGCTCCGGAACGCAAACGTCAGAACTTTCCAGTCCCGTGTTAATGCCTGAATACACACACACCGAGCCCCGGAGAGCCTTCTGATGACAGGCTGTGTATTTAGGCCGCCAGCTGGTGAGAGGGCGAGCATCTCAGACCAACCCAGAGGCTAACACGCAGCACCGAGTCTGCTCAGGAATGTGCTCTTTTTCTGTACGAACCCTCAGCTTCTCTCTCTTCTTCAGAATGCTCCGGGCCTGGCCTGGTTGTGTTTCCGGTTTGCAAACCCTCAGACCCTCGAACAAATCTTTTCCCTTTATTTCTAGCCGAAGCCCCTGACTCATTGACGCCCACTCAACAGTACCTGGGCACAGTCAGCGATGACTGCATAAATGTTCGCTGTGATTGTTGCTCCATTAGCCGTCTACTTAAGGCTCCATTGTCACGGAAAAGCTCGGTGTGGCTTATGCAACCGCAGCACCGAGCGTGGGGGCCAGGGAGCCCCCTCCCTCTGTGCCGATTCCCCTGGAGGGACAGGCGGGGATCGAAAGGTGTTGCCTCTGGAAATGCCAGCGGGGAATGGTAGAGGGATTACCCGAGGTCAGACCGCTCAGGGATGCCGGCGCTGGGGGTTTCCATCAGCCTCAGAAACCCAGGCAGGTGTGGTCCTGGTGCCCCGCCTGGGGATGACTCAGCGGGAAGAGAGCCGCTGGCCTCCAGGACCAACCCTTTCCTGCTCCCGGGGGCATTCCCTGGGCGTCCACACAGCCGGCAGCCTCCCCCTTCAGGCGGATGACCTGAGGTTGGCTCCGGCGGTTCGTGCAGGTGGGGAGCCTGGCCTGCTGACAGGGTGCCCCCGGGGTGGACAGGCGCTTTCCTGCCTCCCCGTTGCCCTGGCATTCCATGGAGCTGCGGTTGGCCAGGGCTCTCCCCAGGGCGGTACCTGCTTGCTTCCCTGCCTGGGATTCCTAATTGCTTCACTGTCAGGGGTGAGGGGAGGCTGCCTTGAAAAGCACACAACAGCCACCACCCCACCGCAAACAGAACCCCGCCCTCAAGCAACCAGGTAGTGCCTGCATACACCCCGAAAGGACGCCGGACCTCGATACTGTATTCACCCGCATCGAGACACGCCGGGGTTTTTCCTCTGCTTCGAAGCCTTGCCAGTTCACATCTGGTCAGCATTTCCCTTTAGGAAACTCTCAAGATTTCCTGAGTAAAGGGAACCAGGGGAGAAGGGGAAATAGAGAAATCCCCTTTTAAGAAACTCCCTTGCTTCATGCAATTGCTCAACCACAACTTCCCTCAGGGGCCAGCCTCCCCAGCCCAGGACGGCCGCTGCCAGGGATGTCCGCTTTGCAGAGTCTGATCTCCATAGCAACCCTGTGAGCCAGTGTGGAGGCGACAGGGGCAGAAAGAGAACGCGGGGGGGACCAGCTATAATGGTAAGAACTACTAACCAGGCTCTGTCTTTATTCCGATGAAAGAAGGCACATTCTCACCTGCCGGGAGGGAGTCGCACCTGGGGCTTGGAAGCTCCCCTGAAGATGCAGGTTTCCATGGGAAGATGGACAGCCTTGTTGCAGAAGCCAGAATCGCCAGCCCTTTGAAGACCCCCAGCCCTTTGCATACCCGCAGGCCTCGCAAATACCTGTAAATGCCCACTTGGCATCCCTCCTCCATGGAACCTTTGTGCTTCTACCCAATAGAAGCAGCAGCTGACGGTGGGGGCCAGAGCAGATGTCTGTGGCTGACCTGCTGCGCCCCCACGCTGCCAGCAGGATTAGAATAAACGCTCAGGTGATTCAACCCTGTTCGCTCCAGTAGTGACAGGCAGCCCGGACCCCCTGGCTGTCCGGTTTCAGAGGGAGTCACTTCCTCCTCCTCCTATTTCCATGGGGGAGATGGGTTTCTGAGGCCTGGTCCCTGCACCGACTGGTCCCATGGTCCCATGGCCTCCCACTCACTTCCCCAGGACCACAGGTGACTTCTCGGCGCTGGGCCTGGCCGGACCCCCTGTCCCCGGCGAGGGCGTGTTCCTCCCCGCTGTCTGCGGTCGCTCTCTGTGTCCGCGGCTGCCTGAGGCCTTTTCACCTCAACCACATCCTCCAGTCCAGCCTGGTCGCCTCAGAGGTGGCATTTCGGTCTCTACCTGTCTGGCACCTGCTTTTGCTTCTCAGTCCTGAAAGCCAGAAGGGCAGGAGAGGGGTTTCTCTGGCCTCCGAAAACTCCAACTCCAGCAGCGGTGGCTACTATTACCACTCCCATGACAACGATGAGGCAACAGGAGCACAGAGAGGTTCTGGAACATTCCACAGAGCTGGTAAGGGCAGCAGTAGGAACAGGCATGTGAATCCAGGCACGTGCGATGCCATGACAACAACCCTTTATGTGCAACCAGCCTGCTTTTCTGCCCTTTCACAAAAGTGAGCAATAGGAGGCAATATGTCCTCGTGACCAGCCCCCTAGCGCTTGGGGCCTGCCGGCCTGCGGACGCTGTCACAGCGGACGGACCTGCCTGGCCGGCGTGGCTCAGTGGTTGAGCATCGACCTATGAACCAGGAGGTCAGGGTTTGATTCCTGGTCAGGGCACAGGCCCCGGTGGCGGGCTCCATCCCCAGGGTGGAGGCGTGCAGGAGGCAGCCGGTCCATGATTCTCTCTCTCTCTCCCTCTCCCTTCCTCTCTGAAATCAATAAAAAAATATATTAAACAAACAAACAAACAAAAAGCAGACGGACTTGCACACGTAATGTTGCTTAATACACCGGCCAATCTGATAAACAGACCCGACGCGTCCCGGCCGGCAGTCCTTAGGATGGTGTGTCTCCCCGGCTTCCTCGTCAACGGCATCGAGGGCTTTAGAGCAAGAAACAGGAATGCAGCTGTGCTCCGGCCGCACACAAGTTTTAGTACATTTGCCAACAGCTCGGTCTCTCCTCTCCCCGGTCACCAGTCCGCGCCGCCGTCCTCTCTCCCTCGGGGGCAGTGGGGTCTCCCCACATTCTCTCCGGCCTCTCTCTCCCTTGCAGGAGCTGCAGCTGCTCTGAGGTCCGAGCAGTTATTACCACGTCAGGACTGAGCCAGAGTCAGCGCCTCGCGGCCAATGTCGCCAGGCCAGCGCTGGCCCGAGGCCCTCCGGGAGCGTCTCCTTAGGCCCAGAACAGAGTCCGAACCCCTTGGGTTGTGGCCTTGCTAGGCCTGTCTCCTGCCTACGCTCTCCACCTCTCTACCCGGCCAGCTTACACGGCTGCCTCGCGTGTTTGCACATGCTGTTCCTCCCTCCTGCTTTCCTTTCACTTCCCTCACTCCTGCTCATCCATCGGATCCCAGTTCAAGAGGGACTGTTCCCAGGAGTCCTTCCCTGGGCTCTCTGATGAGTCAATCCCCTCGTCACAGGCTCAGGTGCGTGTGCGTGGGGGTGGGGGGGGCCCTCTCACTCACAGCACTAGGGCCAGCTTTACATATGCTTGCTTGTGTGACATGATTGATTGTGTCCATCCCAGTTATCATCAGACCGTCAGCCCCTGAGGGCAGTGACCTGAGGCTGGATGGAGCCTGAAGTATTGGGGGGGGGGGTGGTGGTGGGCGGGGGAGGAGTGCCCACCGGGAGGAGGAGCCCCTTCCCGGCACTGTGTTTTATCTTAAGTGCAGTGGGAAGCCTTCCCAGGTTGTTTTAAGCAGCAAGTGCACCGTTTCATTTGTGCTCTGAGATTGCGGGCCTCCAAGATTCATTGTTAGGGTGACTCTTAGCTTCCGCTTCCTTCCTCTTAGGGTACCTGCTCGTGGAGCAGTCCTGTTTGGAACCCAGTGACCAAGCCGAGAGGAAGCCCAGACAGACACGTGGAGGGGAGCCAAGGCCCCCACACCCCGAGCGGACAGCCCCCCGAAGCTCCCAGCTGGTGGCCGGCACCAACCAGCAGCCGTGGAAGGAAGCCGCGGAGGCTCTGCAGCCGGCCCGGCATTCTGGCTGACAACATGTAGAGCACAAGAACCATCTGGTCGACCCACAGGCCCGACGAGAAAATAGTCAACAGTTAATAGTTCATTCAAGCTCCTGAATTTCAGGTGAGCTGTTAGGCAGCAGTAGATAAAAATTCACAACCAGTGGACAGACCCACACAGGAGCCAGGCAGGTGTTTAAAACCGATAATGTTGCTCAGGGGACATGGCTCGTTAATGCTCTGCTCTCGAACGAGACCGTGCCAACAGCTCTGCACCCTCAGGCCTCCTCTCCCCCTCTTCCTCTACCTTCCTGGGCAGGTGGGGAGGCCCTTTCCTGGGAGGCAGAGCAGACAGACCATGCTCTCTGCAGGTGTGCCGGCTCCCCAGGAGAAGGGGACGGAGCTGAGTGTCTGCTCCCAACCTCACCAACCAGACACTCAGTCCTCCTGTCGGAAAGAGGGAGCTAGTCCAGGAGAGATGGGTGGGCGGGTGTCCCTCCACGTGGGAATGTGGAGAACGGAGAGAAAGGGTGTCCCCACAGTGACAAGGACTCGGAAGTGGAGGTGTGTTTGTGCTACTTATTTTTATTTTTTTAAAAAAATATATTTTCATTGATTTCAGAGAGGAAGGGAGAGGGAGAGAGAGAAACATCAATGATGAGAATCATGGATCGGCTGCCTCCTGCATGCCCCCACCTGGGGATCGAGCCCGCAAGCCGGGCATGTGCCCTGACCGGGAATCAAACCGTGACCTCCTGGGTCATAGGTCAACGCTCAACCACTGAGCCGCACCGGCCGGGCTGTTTGCACTGTTAGACAGGCTGGGCAGGGAAGGCGGCTGAGGAGCTGACACCTGAGCAGGGATGGGAGTGGAGCCGGAGCCGTGGAGACATCTGGGGAAGACCTTTTGGGCAGAGCGCGTGTGCGTGTGTTTGCAGAAAAGCAAGGTTGTGCGTGCTCAGAGCTGGGTGAGCCAGGCGAGGAGTCGCGGTCGGAGGAGGGCAGTGGCCCGAGCCTGGGGGCCTCCTGGGCCTGGAAGGACGTGGGCCTTGGCTTTACGTGCGGTGGGACGTCATGAGGAGGTCGTCACTGGCCTTGGCAAGCAGACTCTCCGAGCCACAGGGCTGCCAGGGCTTGAGCGCCCTTGTGGTCAGGTTTCCTGTCTGTGGTGAGCGCGCTGGAGCTGGGGGAGGGGCCGGAGGGCCCATGCGCGTGGGTGAGACGCGGAACTGGTGTGAGATCCCTGAGCTCAGCTGTGTGTGCTGCAACCCGTCTAGCACCTGGCTGGCTAGACGCTGTCACCACAAGATGCTAAACCCACAGAAGCCGGCCGCCGGTGGGATCTCGGGTCTGAGCCAGCGGACTTGCAGGCAACAGGCTTCACTTGAGGGCCTGGGGTAGGCAGGGGGTTCTACGGGCCCTGGCCAGGGTGCGAGGGAGGGCATGGCGACGAAGGTGGGCGCCGATTATCTTTCTGGAAGAGGAAGGGATGGAAGATAAAGTGTCCGTGATGAAAGGTGGAGTGCTGTCACCAGCACAGGGGACAGCAGTCACGCTCCGAGGGGCGGTTAGAAGACGCAGAGACCATGGCAGGACGGGGATCGGATGGAATGGCGGTGGCACTGGAGTGCACCCTATAAATACGCCTCTCTGTTCTGGGTATTGCTCCCCCAAACACCCCTGCCCACTTAGCCCTAAACACAGCAGGGGGTGCTCTGAAGGTACTGATTCGCTGACTCTATGCAAACGCTCACCTAGCCCCACAGACAACCACAGGAAGTAGGCACCACACCCATTTTATAGGTGAGGAAACGGAGACCTAGGGCGGTTAAGTAACTTGTCCGAAGTCCCCTCCACGAGGAAGGGTGGAGCCAGGGCTTGCACGGCAGGCTGAAGACCAGAGGGTGAACTTGAACTCTCTCATAGCCAACCATGTACCAGGCTAGTCCAGCATGAAACTGAAGGTCTCTGTGCCTTCGATTGAACTTAGTTTTAAATCCTACTCCAGAAATCTCTATATATACACACCCCTCAGAGACCCGGCCTCCCCCTCCCCGCCCCCCCCCCCTAATCAGCAACCCCCGAGGCAGCAGAAGACAATAGCCCGGGCCTGACTAATGGTCACATGGTCCGACCTCTGCAGGCTTAAGAGAACATTAAAAGATATACGAGAGGAAGGGAGAGGGAGAGAGGGAGACAGGGAGAGGGAGAGATAGAAACATCAACAATGAGAGAGAATCATGGATCGGCTGACTCCTGTGGGGATCCCAGTAGGGGATCCATCCTGCAACCTGGGCCTGGGCCCTGACGGGGAATCCAACTGTGACCTCCTGATTCATAGGTCAATGCTCAACCATTGAGCCACACCGGCTGGGACTAAAGAGGACATTTTGATATAAATTAAGTTCCAGCTCCTGAGCCCTAAGCTGGAATGACACCCTCTGGCTACTTTCCTGAGAGAGAGGACAGACAGATGCCGGAGCAGACCTCAGACCCGAAGAAACGGTTCCTTACCCTCCTCTCCACTCCAAGCAGTGAGCTCCCAGCACCTCCCCACCCCGAACCCGGTGCCCTGTGGCTGCCCCTCTATGATCGGTAACCAGGTGCCATCAGGGAGTCGGGTTTCTCAGAGCATACGCCCTCCACCTCCGCGTGGGCCCATTGCACATTCAACTGGTTTTAAAATGTCCGGTCTGCAAACCCTGCCGGCTCGCTTCTTTGGGCCAGTGCGTGCGGGCATCTTTGGGCCAGTGCGTACGGGCAGACGCAGGAAAAGGCCTCGGGCTTCCGGTAACAGCGGCTCCCCGGGACCAGCCACTGGCTCCTCTGGACCTGAAGATCTGTAGGACAAGGGGGCGCAAACGGCCCCCCACGTCCCAGGGTCGCGGGGCACAGACAGGGAAAGTCTGCCTCCCCCTGTTAGAAAACGCCTTTGGGCCTGGGGTGGGCATGACTCAGTGGTTGAGCGTCCACCTATGAACCCGGAGGCCGAGGTTCCATTCCCGGTCAGGGCACAGGCCCGGGTGGTGGGCTCCATCCCCAGTGGGGGGCGTGCAGGAGGCAGCCCATCCATGCATCCCTCTCATCATTGATGTTTTTCTCTCTCTCTCCCTTCCTCTCTGAAATCAATAAAAATATATTAAAAAACAAAACAATACTAAGCTCGGACAAACCTCCTTAATAACAGGCTCGCTGAGGCTTGGTCTGAACCGGGCTGCTTCCCCCTTCTGTCTCCATTCTCCGCCCCGCCCCGCGACCCCGCCCACCACGCGGCCCCGCCCACCCCGTTTACGCCCCGCCCACTGTCGGGAACGCCCCGCCCACTCAGGGCACGCCCCGCCCCTGTGGCTGCCTCCCAGGCTGGCTGTGAGCAGGGGGCAGAGGCAACCAGAGGCCCCGCAGGAGGTGGGGGGTCCGCCCGCCGCTGCCGGGAGTTCCTCTCCGGGGTGGGGGGAGGGGGGGGGGAGGCGGGTGCCGGGGAGCCCAGCCTCCGCCCTTCGCCTCAGCTTCCCGGAGGAAAGAACTCACTGGCTCTTTCCGGAGGTGTGGTCGCTGCAGCCCCGGAGCGCCAGCGCCAGCCCGGGCCCCTTTGTTCTGCTCGGGGTGAGAGCGCAGCCGCCCGCCCTCTCCCGGCACCGCCTCTGGGCGACCCGCCTTCCGAATTCCTGGGGGAGGGGTTGTCCTGGATCCCAGTTCCCCCAAAGGGTGGAAAACTCACCGCCCAGGACATGGCAGATGCTTTTCCTCGGAAAACAGCCAGACTTGCTTTTTTTAAATTACAAAGTTCTTTTTTTTTTTAAAATATGTATTTTATTGATTTCAGAGAGGAAGGGAGAGGGAGATAGAAATATCAGTGATGAGAGAGAACCATGGATCAGCTGCCTCCTGCACGCCCCCCACTGGGGATCGAGCCCACAACTCCGCCCGTGCCCTGACCAGGAATAAAACCGTGACCTCCTGGTTCATACGTTGACGCTCACTCACTGAGCCACGCCGGCCGGGCCAGACTTTTGTTATATATTTATTTTTACAGTCCTGTGTTTTGATTTAAAAATGAAAACAAAAAACCAGAAGCAGGGCCTCCCGTTATTGTAGCACTGAAATGGTCCCCTTTTGATTATTTTTACCTTGAAAAAGTGTTAGGAAGTAGAACTGAATTGAGTAAATGTGAAGATACAATTGACCCGATTTGTCAGTCCATGAACTGGACGGCACTCACCACAAGTCGAGGGCTGCTCACGGGGCTGCACCACACAGGACGGTGTCCCAGGCCGCTAGCGGGTGGGCAGGGAGGACTCAGCAAAAGGCAGGGAAGGTTGTTTTAGCCCTGAGGGGGGGGGCGGAAGGACGGCCTCACTAGTGCTAACCAGGAGCTTCCAGGTGGTCTGAAGAGAGAGGTGGAGGTTACAACATGCTGGGTTTGCAAGTGACTGGGGGCAAATGACTCCATTGTGGAGGAATTCTCCCTTCCTTCCTTCCTTCCTTCCTTCCTTCCTTCCTTCCTTCCTTCCTTCCTTCCTTCCTTCCTTCCTTCCTCCTTTTCTCTTTTCAACAAAAGTGGGCTGGTTTTCAGAAAAATATCAGCCTGCCTGTGTGGCTCAGTTGGTTGGAGAGTCCTCCCGTGCACCAAAAGGTCGCAGGTTCGATTCCCAGTCAGGGAGCATACCCCAGATTTCAGGATTGATCCCTGCTTTGTGGTGTGCAGGAGGCAGCTGATCAATGTTTCTCTCTCTCTCTCTGTCTCTCTCCCTCATCTATATATATAAAAGCATAAGTGACCAGAACAACTGACCGCTATGATGCACACTGACCACCAGGGGGCAGACGCTCAACACAGGAGCTGCTCCCAGCCCCCGATTGCTGATGGGGCCGGCTGGCTAAACTCCTGGTCCCTTCCCCCAGCCGGCAGGTCCCGATCACCTGATTGGGGCTGGGCCCTGGGCTGGGACAGGGGACTGGGGGTGGGTCGCCGCGGACGCGGGTGGCAAGGGAAGGAGGAGGCAGGGAGGCGGGGAACCTGATGGGCCCTGATCGCCAGCCAGGTGTAGGGACCCCACCTGTTCACGAATTTCATGCACCGGGCCTCTAGTATATATATTAGAGGCTCAGCACACAAAATTGTGTGCAGTAGGGTCCCTAGGCCTAGCCTGTGATCACAGCCATCTTCCGCCGGTTTGCCAGTCCCCAGTCCTGCCCCGACACCGACATCCACCCTGGTTCCCCGTGGTTCCCGGATAGCCATCCAGCAATGGAGCCTGCGGCCGGGGGAGGGACCAAAAGGTCTGCCTTGCGCCCACTTGTCAGTCCCCAGTCCCACCCCACCGCCACCCACCCCAGTTCTCCATGGTTCCCCGTGGGCCATCCAGTGATCTCGATTGCGATCTGAGCCTGCCAGCCGGGGGGAGGGACTGAGAGGTGGTCAATGCACCTCATAGCGACTGGTCGATCGGTCGTTCTGGTCCTTACGCCGTTATGGTCGCTGGCCTTTTATTATGTAAAAAACTCCAGGGTCGGGATACTCCCTTGGTTGGCTGGGCACCCCGTACATTGTCCCTTAGGCAGGGACGTGCCCACAGCGCGCATCTTTGGGAAGGGCCGTCCTGGGTCTGAGGGCGCCTCCAGGTGGGCGGAGGACCCGGCAGGTCAGGGGTCCGGGCTCTGCCCTTCCCCGTGGGTGCCTGGGTGGGGGTGCCCCATTCTGCCAGAAGAGGTTCAGCCTTCCCAGCTGACTACCTCCTGTCCGCCGCCAGCTCTGGAGCCCAGCCCAGGAGGCAGGCGGAGTGTAATGGCAGACGATTCCCGTGTCACACGCGCACCTATTCCCTTACCAAATATTGATCGTACTTCTCGCGCACCGGACACCTCCTCTCTCTAGGAAAGTCTGCTCCTCTGGGGTTCCCGTCTCGGCCACCGAGGTCGGGGCGCCACCTGCTGTCCCTGGGGCGTCAGTGCAGCCTCCGGAGCCGGTGGGATCCCCATCCGGCCCCCGCCCCCCCGCCCCCCAGGGACAGTGAAGTCCCCGGGAAATCCGGGACGCAGATCTCTCGGGAGCAGATGGCCAGGCCACGCGCGGAGGCCAAGTGCGCGCATCTGTGTGATCGGCAGAAAGGCCTCCCACGGAGGGCGGGGCCTCGGAGGGAACCGGGAAAAAGCGGGCAAGTTGTTGCAGCTGCTCGTAGCCGCGCTTTTCTCGGACGTACGGGCTCCCCACGGGCGGCTCCAGGCAACCCGGGGCGCCGGGTCCGCTCCCCCCACGTCGCGGGGGTGCAGGGCGGCGGGAGCTCAGTACACGGCCTATGAGGTGAAGCACCCGCGCCCTCTTTCTGCTGTTTGAAGGGGAGGACGCTGGTGCCCAAGGTTCGTGCAGGCAGCACCCCCCCGTCCACCGCCCCTCGCTCCCACGCGTGGGGGGCGGCTCCCCCGAGCGCTCTTTCTCCGCAGCCTCGTGCTGAGGCCGGTTCGGTGTGCCCCGCGGGCGCCTGCGCCCCGACACTGCCACCTGCTGGAACGGGGAACAGATAGCGCCAAGCCCGCTTAGGTTTTGCAGCAGGAGGCCGCTGGGGGGGGGGGGGGGGCAGAGCGGGGGTGTGTTCCTGGGACCCGCCCTCCAGGCCTTAGTTGGTGTCTAGCTTTGGTCTTTCTGAGCTACAGGCAGGGCGGTGCGGGTCAAATAGGAGTGCGCAGGTCCCACCCCAGCAGATCTGTGCATGGGTTTGGGGTGGGCCCTGGGCATGTGCGCGCGCGCGCGCGCGCGCGTGTGTGTGTGTGTGTGTGTGTGTGAGAGAGAGAGAGAGAGAGAGAGAGAGAGGAAGAGGAAGAGAGAGAAACATGGATGATCAGCTGCCTCCTGCACGTTCCCACTGGGGATCAAGCCCGCATCCCGGGCATGTGTCCTGACCTGGAATAGAACCAGCGACCTCGGTGCTCAACCAACCAGCCGCACAGGCCGGGTAGGCAGGCGTGTTTCTAACAGGCACCCTGAGTCTGGTCCTCCAAAGGTTGCAGGCCACTGCACTGGCATCAGAGGACTCCTTGGTCTAGCCTTCTTCCTGCAGCGAAGAAGTCATAGTCCTTGTGCACTGTGAATTTGGGGCTAGTCTGTCTCTCCCCCCCGACCCCCCACCCTTACCCCCCTCCTTCCTCTCTAAACATCAATGAGGACATCCTCGGGGACAGATTTAAAAAATGTCCGAGAAGCCCTGCTTCCAATGACCCTTCTCCCTCAGACGCTCAGGCCCGTTCCCCTCCCGGCCATGGTGTGTGGGGCAGGGGCCGCCCACCCAGTTTACCAGCCCCTTCGCCTGTTCTGAGGCCTGGGGCCCCCCAGGTTTGGAGACACAGAAGAGGCAGCGGAGACGAGGAGCGAGGCAGCTTCTGCCCTTGTGAGGTGACGGGGAGGACGCTGCCCCCCCTGCAGCACCCAGACGGGCTTTGCCGGCTCTTTCTGGGTCCACCGTCCATCCTGGCCCCTCCTGAGGGTTTTGAGAAGTGAAGCTTTAGTGACTCAGGCAGGAAGGGCGGCCAGACACGAGGGTGCCACCCTGTGGCGGGAGCGGGCATCCCGCCCAGACGCAGCTGTAAGCGCGAGGCGGGAGAGGGACCCGCAGGCGGGAGAGGGAAGGGCGGCTGTGATGGGCAGCAGGAGCTGAGTCTTATGGAGCCTTCTTATCTGCCGGATGCAGGCCCAGCCCTGCCCACGGGCTCGTTTATTTAAAACACACAAGTGTGGAGGAGGTGCCCTTGCCATCCCCGCACCCCAGGGCTGGGGGACAGAGAGAGAGGAGCCGGGGTCCCTGGGCAGTGAGGCTCCTGCTAGCCCCCAGTCTAACAGTCTTGATGTATTTCCGCAGCGGCAAGAGGAGCCCTTTCTGGGGCAGACCCCCCACTTTCAGGCTATTTTAATTTTATTTTTAAAATATTTGTATTATTGATTTCAGAGAGGAAGGGAGAGGGAGACAGCAACACCAATGATTATTGATCAGCTGCCTCCTGTATGCCCCCTACTGGGGAGCCCACAACCCGGGCATGTGCCCTGACCGGGAATCGAATCGTGACCTCCTGGTTCATAGGTCGATGTTCAACCACTGAGCCACACCAGCTGGTCTTAAATGACCTCTTTTAAAGGGACTTAAAAGGCAGAAACAGAAGCTGAGGCATCAGAAGGCAGTGACCGCAGGAGCAGCGGGTGGCTCGGGGCTTGAGGCAGCAAGTTAAGGCGGGGAGGCTGTAGGGACCCAGAGTCTTGGAGGCGGCCCGGAAGCTGGCGCCGGCTCATCTGGGCGGGTGGGCGGAGGCGGCCAGGTAATTCCCGGCGAAGCTGGATGAGCCGGAAAACGGGACCCACGGGTGCTGCTGGGTGAAGGGCCATCGCTGGGGACGCCAACAGGAAGCAGCGCCAGGTAGGAGCGAGCCTCTCTCTCTCCCCCAGTTCCTGGTCCCCCTTCAGTGCTTCCATCAGCAGCACCTGGCAGGAAGCCAGCGGGCGAGGGGGATGTGGGTTTGCCCATCTCAGCCCCCGGGCGCCCAGGAGAGTGTGGGGCGCGGCTCTGTTGCTGAGAACAGTAGCGTAATAAGCTGAATACTGGAGGCCATGGTGTCCTAGGCCGTGATCAGGGCGCCGAAGGACAGCCCCACCTTTAGTGGGGTCCCCCTTAAGACCAGGGGTCCCCTAAAGCATTGCCTGGAACCCAAGGACAAGAGCGTAGGAGGGACCCCTTGCGATTTTGTTTCCTTCCTCTCTCCTCCGTGGCCTTCGCCCCCTGCCTCCTGCTCCCAACACTGGCCAAATCGGGCCCACTGTGTTTTTTAAATAAAGTTTTATTGGGACACCCCACTCCCCGTCCCACCCCTGGAGGAAGCTGGAGCTTGTGGCTAGCACACTTTCTCTCTCTCTCTCTCTTTTATTTTTAAAATTTGATTTCAGAGAGGAAGGGAGAGGGAGAGTGAGAACATCCGTGATGAGAGAGAATCATGGGTCGGCTGCCTCCTGCACGCCCACCCCCAGCTGGGGATGAAGCCTGTAACCCCGGGCAGGTGCCCTGACCGGGAATTGAACCCCGACCTCCTGGTTCATAGGTCAATGCTCAATCACTGAGCCACGCCGGCCAGGCACTCTCTCTCTTTTGAGAAACTATCAAAAACCATTTGCAAAATAACTGTGATTCTGTGATTGCTTTAAAATGGGGGGTGGGGGGCGGGGGGAGAAGCAGCACATTTTGCAATCACAGCGGGTGACTGCCCGGCTCGTTCAGTTCACGGCGAGTGCACGTGTTTGCCGAGGCCCCTGGAATGCGTTTTCTGGGGGTCCTGTCACCAAAGCTCAGGCGCACGGGCGGGGGGGCCCCGTGGAGCTGGGACGTCTCCCAGAAGGGAGGGTCTTTCTCCATGTGAATCCGGAGTCGTGTGCTGATGGGCTCATGGTAAAGTCCCCTTCCCCATGCAGTCCGTGCGTGGTGGTGTGGGGAGATGGGATCGGCTCCGTTCGGATCGTTGGCAAATGGGATAGAGACGGAAGGGACCAATTTTCATCACGACAGACACTTGTCAGCGCCAGACCGTTACCGAGGGCAAGTCATTTGCGCGCTGTCGTGAGGAGGCGGCTGCCGGCTGCCGGGTGTTGCAGGCAGACACGCCTGCAGGGGGGTGGGGGGGTGGGATGCTATCCTGTAGGGGGGGGCGGGGGGGGGAGAAATGCCACTGTAGGTGTGACAGGGCGGAGCCCCGGCGGGAGGGAGCGGGCTCCTGTCCCCAAGGGAAGATCCGCTCAGCGATGTGCATGTGCCCAAAGGATTTACTCTCCTGCCAACGGGGCGCTCTGCCTGTTCCTGTTCACACACAAAACCGGGTTGTCTTAAAAAATATATATGTTTTTATTGATTTCAGAGAGGAAGGCAGAGGGGGAAAGAGATAGAAACAGCAATGATGAGAGAGAATCATGGACCGGCTGCCTCCTGCACGCCCCCCCACTGGGGATGGAGCCTGTAACCCGGGCCTGTGCCCTGACCGGGAATCGAACCAGTGGCCTCTTGGTTTATAGGTCGACGCTCAACCACTGAGCCACGCCGGCTGGGATGTTGTGTCTTCATGCAGTAATGATCATCTCTGGATCTGAGAGACGATGTTACCGTTCGAAAGGGCTCAAGGCTGGGTTTAAAGCGTCCATGGAATGGAGGGGGAGGGTGTTGGAGGGTGCAGTCCCAGGAACTGCAGCGGGAATTGGTGGACTTCGGCCCAGGGGCCAAGTCCGGCCCACTGTGTTTCTTAAAAAAAGTTTTATTGGGCCCTAACTGGTTTGACTCAGTGGCTAGAGCATCGGCCTGTGGACTGAAGAGTCCCAGGTTCGATTCCAGTCAAGGGCATGTACCTGGGTTGCGGGCACATCCCCAGTAGGGGGTGTGCAGGAGGCAGCTGATCGACGCTTCTCTCTCATCGATGTTTCTAACTCTCTATCCCTCTCCCTTCCTCTCTGTAAAAAATCAATAAAATATATTAAAAAAAAGTTTTATTGGGCCACACCCACTCCTCTCGGCTCACGCCTGTGGCTGCTCCGGCCACGCTGGCAGGTTGAGTAGTTGGACTCCGTGGCTTGCACAGCCTGAAATATTTACAACCTGGCTCTTTGCAGAAACGGATTGCTGACCCCTGGAGGGTGGGGACAGCGCAGTCACCTGCGTAGAGTCAGGGGAGGGGCTGCGGTATCTGGGCTCCTCTTAAAGTCTATTGTTATTGATTTCAGAGAGGAAGGGAGAGGGAGAAACATCCATGATGAGAGAGAACCATGGACCGGCTGCCTCCTGCACGCCCCCCACTGAGGCTCGAGTCCACAACCCGGGCCGGTGCCCTGACCGGGAATCGAACCGAGACCTCCTGGTTCCTGGGTGGACGCTCACCCGCTGAGCCACAGGGTGTGGGCCGTACCGTGAGATCTTATGAAATAGATGAATGGTTAGGCTGGGTAGACATGGTTATACT